GATAGTTCGGAAATAACGAGGAAGAGGAATTTCATTTTCATCCCACAGACATTGCACAGAAGAAATGCATATGCTATAAACCTTATGAGGACAAAAGGATGCATGAAATTTACCGGACGGGGAGGTTTTATGCCCACGTCCATGCTATACGATGCCCTATCTATCGTCTCCATCGGCCCGTGATTTTATAAGGAAGACGTCGATGCATTTCGCGCACTTTGTTTTCTCTCCCAAACATTTTCTTTTTTCTCCAAACATTCCAATATTTCAGGTCTACCAACTGTTTTTTCTTTTCAAATGATCGCTAAAGAACGTCGTTGAATTCAACAAGCCGCTATAGACACGTATACATGAAGCCCTAGAACGCCGACCGCTGTTATTGTCCATCAGAATATGCTGCTTCTGAAAAAAATGCTACGGTGCAAGATGAATTATGGAGGGAGAATAGAAGCAAAGCGAGAAGATTCTGGAGAACTAACGCCAAAAATACCTTCCACCTTCTTGATATTTCGAATAATTCTTTTGGATAAAATCTAATTTAATAATGCAAATTTGACTTAAGCCCCATGCAAGTTTATTTAACTAAAAATGCATATGTAAAGAACAAAAAGTATATTCACTTATTATGAAAAAAGCGGAAAGCTATTCATTTCTAATGAAAAAACAAACAAGATATGCATGCAAATATAAAAAAATATTTATTTATAATACAATAAATTACGTATAATATTTATTCATAATGAAAAAGTATAAAAAAGTCACTGCATCTTTATTATTCTTCGGTATTGAACATGTTCTTAATTTTACTGCTTGCATACTTTAAATTCAAATTCTGCTGTGGTTGAGGCCCTATTTTTTTTAAGCACTGATCCCAAAAACTTGTCGAGCTGACTGCTATTCTGTTTTTCTTGCTGTTTCTTCTTCTCTTGGTCTTCCTATTCAATTTTTCTTTCCAATATATTCATCAATTTGTACAATAAATCCAAATAATTGTCAGTTGTCATCATTGCGTTTGGAAGATTCAAACTTCCTTCCACAACTGCTTTGCAAGCTGTTAAAAGGTACTGGTGTCTCAACCAATAAAAGTTCAATTCAACTATTAGCAAATTTATTATATTATACTTACTGGACACGTCCACTTCCTTCGATACAGCATCGCGGGGCTTTTCTTTTACCACTTCAAGCTTGCTTCATATCCAAAACTTTTCGTTGTGAAGGAAAGAAAAATTAAGTTGTATTTTTATATTTCCCTCTATTTTGGAAAAGAAATGTTAGACTAAGCTTTAATCAAACCGCAAAATAGAAGTACACAGCAAGTATGTTCAGGCATAAATTCAAAAAAGAAGCCTAGGATGATCCAGCCAAGGAAGTTGAGATTGGCACGACTGAAAATGTAAAATTTTTCCAAGCCAAGGTAAGGGAGAGAGAATGACAATTCATTTTGAAGGTTTTTGGGCTCAAGAAGTTAAACTATCCAAGAACAGGGCAGTTTTAAAATGGAGATTTTAATCTATACAAACATGAAACAAAACGAAATGATAGACTCATAGCATACATATATATATATACAACACTTAACAATTCGATTATTTCACAAAGTTATTATTATTCGATTATCATTATGATTGTTATTATAATTTTTTTACGGTGAGGAAATAAATTGTCAGACTAATATAAAATAAGTGGAAACATTGTAGTCGGGCAACGCCGCTTGTAAACCTGGCCCTAAACCTTTTCACCTAGTATAGTTATTTACTCGTTTCGGTAACAATTCTCCAAAACGCACACATTCTTTTCACGCAAACCCACAATTGTTTTGAAAGCCTGCATATTGAGCGGTTAAATTTTCTTTTCATATAAGAGTTTTCGTTTCGCGATAGCACATATATATGTTGGAGTACAAAAAAATGGACCTACGTGATCCATTTTTTGCTAAAACGCCACTATGAGTTAAATATCATCATAATATATTAAGGTTACTACTCATTAGATGTCTTATATGGAATAGGGCCAAGATATAGGCCCATATGGTTCAAATTAGGTCCGCTTAATTTTTTTTTAATTACTATCATAAACCAATTTCCACCACAAAAAAATAACAATTAGGCTTTCGGGCACATAACAATTTACGTTTCACGAGAATCCTTATGCGGTGGTATTCAAAAAATAGACCTACGTGGTCCCAATACGGTAAGGCACATTTCTTTGTCAATTTCACCATGAAATATTGGAAATTCTACCTTTTTACCATATATAGCTTCAATTCTTGTAGGAACGGTTATATGAAGAGTAGCTCAAAAAATTGGCACAACCGATCCAAACTTTTCACACCAATTTGGAATGCCGATATACCACTAGCTAGCCAATTTTGAAAATGGCAATTTTTCCCCATATAACGTCTTCAGAATAAAGCCTTATACGGGGAGTGATCGAAAAAGTTCACCGATCCGAACTATTTTTAATAGCGTTCGTCCTTGGGCCAAAGTAGGTCCGTGTACCAAATTTCATCAAAATATCTCAAAAATTGTGATCTGCAGCTTGAACACAATTTGCGTGGACAGACAGACAGACAGAGAGACAAACAGGCTTAGATCGGGACAAAAAAAAAGTGGGTCTGCCTGAAGCCCTTTTAACTTAATATACCCTCTACCACAACTGGTGTAGAGTATAAAAATAAATTGAAGACCAGAAACACACGGTACCGGTCAATATCAAGTTGTTCGTAAGATTAGTTGCTTCGAATACGATTCTTCTAATAAAGTCAAACTTCAGGCAAGCGCAGAGAATGTGCTTTATTGTAAAAATCGCAGATTAGAGAAGCCTTTTTTAGGACCTATTGGTCTGCGGCAATTATATGGCCAAACCGAATTCTCGCAAAAGTTTTAATTTTGATTTTATCAGTTTTTGTTGGATATAATGGTAAAACTTGTAAGGAAGCGTTTTGCTTCCTTACTGATAATAAATGCGTCCTCATAAGTATCCACCCGTAGAGTTTAAAAGCATTCAATCTGTTTTGTTTTTCCGCACTAAAGATCTAAATACCTCTCGTTGAACCGTTCCCTGAACGTAAGATAAAATACTTTCTCTGTAAGAGTCATTTTTCTCTACGCTACGGTGAGATCATCTCTCTCCTGCACAAACCTATGGTAATTTAGGTTCAAGTATAAAAAAAAA